ATGCTATGCTATGCTATGCTATGCTATGCTATGCTATGCTATGCTATGCTATGCTATGCTATGCTATACTATACTATACTATACTATACTGGCATGCCAATAAAAACTGTTTCAACTGGCAAGCAGATGTCCCTGGAAGTAATTGAATTTTTAGATAAATCAGACTTCCCCACCTTAGTATCCTCCAGGTGTGCTAAACTTCAGCTCACATGAAAGTTTGTAATAAGGTTTTCCTATGGTATTTCCTTTTCATGAGACAGGCAGGCAGTCAAGGAGGAAAGAAGGAGGGAATCTTTTTAGAAATGGAAATAGTTTAGGCAATGTGTTTGCCACCTTTATGATTTATTTAATTTATTCAGGCCACTTATATAATTCAATATCCCAGCTGGATTTCAAACTCTACTATAAGTAGAAAGCAGAATAAAATAGCCTTGCAGTTTAACGCTAACAAACTAGGATGAGTGGTTGCAAAACCAGATCCATCTGAACACACAAATGTGAACAAGGTTTAACTGTACAGTTACATATTGCTCTCATTTCCAGCCCTTGTGATTCTACAATGAGCTGCAAATAAATGCACCCAGAATCATAGAAGCCAATACTAAGACCTTTCCAAACACCTAAGCACTTATTTTGAAAAATGCTTCACCATTTCCCACAACAAAGCAAATTCCAAATACATTGTTAATGTATATTAGTTTTTAGGGGCATATCCATTTTCCAAACACAATTCAATTACAAGCAGCAAGCCACTCCTTATCCATTCCAACAGAGAGGGCCTCCTAGTCTTTCCACACACAGAAGGATGGCGGTTATTTATTTCACCGGCAAATGAAAAAAATATATTGACTTTGTAAAAACAATTTTAGAAAGTAATTCTCAGATTTAACCATACAAGCCCAGCAAAAGGCAAACAGATTTTCTCCCAATGATACATTTAAAAAGAGAGAGGCATAACCCTGATTGTTCTTCTACATCCTCACAGTGCACATCGATATAATATTCCAGAAACACTTTTATTTGGTGGAGAAACCCTCATTTATAACTGTCCTGCAAATGAAGGCAGGATGAGAAAGATGGGAATGATTCTAAAAAGCCTTTGGCTACAATGTCTGCTGGGAAGGTAAAACTACAGGACTTTCCCTAAGTCATTAAAAAGAACCTTAATTGCAGGCTCAACAAAAGAAGCTGGAAAGAGATACTGAAGCCAGGAAGCTGAAATCTGGGACTGGAGAACAACCTTTTCTGTCCCCTTACCTGCTACGGGGGAAGTCAGAGTAGCCGGCACCAACAGTAAGATGGGCAGCAATACCGGGAACCCTGTCCAAAGCACCAGGTGTCGGGCAGTGCACCAAGGTGGACGCGGGCGATAGAGGAACAGCAACGTGACCAAGGCAACCATGAAGCATCTCAACCCATCCATGGCAAAGCCAAACATCAAGTCATCCTCTCGGCCACCACAGGCATCCCTCAGATGAAATCGCTGAGTGGGCTGTCCACTTTCTCCTCTGGGCATCCAACCCCAGTGGTCAGGCAATCAGTCATTGAAGGCATGGGGAGGGGGAGGGGGTTTCCCCACATCTAGCCCCCCCTTTCCTGGGCTGTCAAATTGCAGGTGAAAGCGGCAAACGTAGAAAGCAGCTGGCAAGTGACCCAAGGGGGAGAAGAGGGGGGAATCTCTTGGGGCCAGCAGGCAGGGTCTGAACTAGTGAAGGGAGAAGCGGCACTATGGAAGAGAAGATGGAGGGGAGGGAGGGGGGACGGGGAGGGGGGAAAGCGATAAAGTGAAAGGAGCTTCTCCTACGTTAAAAGGGCGGGGTGTGGATTGGGGTACCCCGTTCCGAGGAGAGGTTGGGAGGAAGGAACCGGCGCGAAAGGCAATGGATGGAGCCAGACCACTGGCAAGAGGTGGAGAAGGCAGAGCGGCAGTCGGAAAGAAGCCGGGGGGATTCAGGCTTTGACGGCGGGGGGGGGGGGAAGAAAGAAAGGGAACCCCGCACTGGGATGGGGAAAGGAGCTGCCACCCGGCGCGGCGGAAGGCAAGCAGCGGCCAGGGCGCGGGAGACGAGGCCCCTTCCTCGGTACAGCCGGGGACTGCAAACGCCAGGAGAGGAGCGGGAAAAGCGGGAGAGGCCGGAGAAAAGTCAGCTGGCGGGGCTATTCCGGCCGTCCAGGGTTCTTGCTTTTCCAGAGTCCAGGAAGAGGAGAGAAAGAGAGAAAGGGACCGGCTGCTTGCGGTTGCTTCTTGGCCTTTCCCGACTCTTCACGTGGGATGGAGCGGCGGCGGCGGCGCTCCTGCAGCTAACGGGAAGCCTCCCTCATTTTGTCTTCTCTGCGCCCTCCTTCTCTTCCACAAAGCCCACCCTCCAGCTTCCCAGTGACGCTTCTTCGGCGGCGAGGAGGGGGGGGGGGGTTTTGGGGGGGGGGGGGGGGGGCGGGG